AGAGGGAGAGGGAGAGGGAGAGAGGAAGGATAATTTGCTTGTCTGTAGTAGTCCAGATCTATCTATCTATCAGAGCCCACTAGGTATAGAAGATATTTGGTGTTCTGTTGAAGTAAGCCCTTCTTTAAAACCCGTCTGTGTTGATTCAAACTAACACAACTCTTCAGAATAAGACTGGAACTTTTATTAAGTGCTGGGGGAAGGAATATACCTCCTCAGATTTTGTTTGTTTTACTTCAAAATTTTGCCTAGAGACAAAAACAGTGTCCATCAAATATCTGATTTTGTGTAACATCAGTTGTAGAATAAATGTTTTATAAAAAAAAAAACCCAATCAAACCAAGAAAGGACTAGGGATATAGCTTAGTGGGTAGAGGGCTTGCCTAGCATATATAACTCCCTGGGTTTGAGCCCCAACATACTCCTCTCTTTTTCTCTGTCTGGAGAAAAATAATGAAACACCAAGACCTAATTGTATGACCACAAGAAATGAAATAAACCATGATAAAACTTATATTTTGCTGAGTATTTTGTGACCAATGAGTGGAATCTTTTTCCATCACATCTTTACTTAGGCATAGGTAAAGTAGCTTATATATTTTTAATTGGATTGTAGCTAAATTTTATTAATCAGGAAGAAATAGTAAGTATATATGCTGGTCCATAATTATTGTATTGTCTGAAAGGTGTAAGGTAGTCTAGAATACATCTTCCCTCCAGGGAACCAAAGAGAAAATGATGCTAATTGTGTAGAAATAGGATTCATGTTATTGATGTGGTAGATTTTTAACACTTACCCTCTCAAACTTTCCAAATAAATCACCTCATATAACTCTAGGCTCTAAGTGAAAATATACTTGCTGTAGAAATATATCTCCAGGGCTGAAAAATGTATGGCATTTGGCAGAGGGCTTGCCTACCAAGCACTGGTTCACTCCCCAACACTAAACAAAGTGGGAAGATGGCAAACACCTATAATCTGAGGCAGGAGGATTAGAAGTTCAGTATCATCTAGGCTGTACTACAGGTGAAAGCTATCAGGGGAACCCCATCTAAGAAAAGAAAAAGGAAGTATGTCTTCAAACAAGGGCCAAGAACTTTATCCCCTATTTTCAACCAGAACAACACCCTTGAAGATCCAACATAGAAAAATGTGAACTATCATGTTTCATTAACATTAAGTCATGCAAACACTCCCCAACAAGAATTTCTAAAAGCAAAATAAGAGGTTGGGATGTGTAACCACAACAGATATTAAGTATTGTCTCTGCTTTAGATTAAGTATGAAACTGAACAGTTCTTCACTTCTTGGTAACTCAGTATCCTCAGTACTAGCTTACTGTGGTTCCTTAAAGGAAGGAATGGAGAGAGAGACCAGTTTTGTTCCCCGTGTGTGTGTGGATGGCAACATGCTCACAGAAATAATGGCTGCAGCCCTATTAAATAGGAGTAGAAATGACTACCATAGGTACGCTACACTCCTCCGATAGTCCTTCCCTCTGGAGCTTCCTAGCCTGACCACACAGGAAGCTTGTAAGTGCAGTCTTTTAGCAGGACACTGTTGCTCAGCAGCAAAACAGCATGCCTAGGAATCTGTCACCTGGTTGTTGGAAGGTTCGTGTGCAATCAGTCGAGCTAGAAAATTAGATCAGTACATTCCAGAAGTGATGGTTTTACTTTCCTTTTTGTAACTACTCAGAAATAATAAATACAGTAATAAATGACAACTCTCGTACACCCCACACATATTTACAGCTCCAGTAAATCTGTCAGAACACAGAGAACCTTCTTGCTACATCAAAAATGCCAGTTGTCAGGAAAGCTTTTCTTCATGTTCTCTGCTAACATGTTTCAGAAGTGTGATGTGCATTGCTTCAGAGTTGGAACCAAGGGCTTGTTGATTAGCTCCTACTTACCAAGATTACAGGAAATTAGATGTGACTGAGACTGGCATGTGAACAATTTCATGACAGACACAGATGAATATTGCTGTATAAACCACACTGCATTTCATTTCTCCTAGGAAATTTTATGTGGTTGTCTTCCTTAATCACTGAAGACTTAATAAATATGCTTTTCATGATACATTGCCTTCATTTGAAATATGAATGGAATCTTAGTGTGTTGAGCCAGTATGATGAAGCGATACAGAAAACCCTTGAGTTTCTGTCTGGAGCCAACACTTTATAGTTCTAACAACACATGGTGCAGCCTCAGTCTTGCAAAAAAATATGTCATTAGGATACAACATGCGTTCCTTTCAGCTCCTCCTTGGACTCTTGATTTTATGAACAATATCCTCAGTGAGAGGAATGCCATCCTTCATCAGGTGTAAGGTTTTGTTCCTTCACATTGCTGCTGTGCACCTTACTTTATATGAAACTGTTTCTAAGGACAGAAGACCCAGGCTGGAGAGATGGCTTAGCTGTTAAAGGCTAGGCTCACAACCAAAACAAAAAAAGGATGTTGTAAATGCCCCCAAATAGAGTCTCAGGGGGAGGAATTTCCTAGCTCATTGCACCTCATAAAACACAGGAAATCAAAACATCATCTTAAGTCTTAGATGTTAATGTACAATCACAGAGAGAATATGAAATTCTGTTTCTTTAGAAGAAGAGAGAATTTGTGGCCATACATGTCTGATACTTTGATAGACCAGAGATGCCGCCAGCAGTGCAAGCTGATGGCGCTGTCCCATGCAGAGGAGCCACAGCAATAATGCACACTTGCCAACAACATACTTCTCAGGCCAGCTCAGAATGTGTTCCTGAGCATCTGCCAAGTGTCACCGTCTACCTGCAGCCGTCAGCAATCTTGCAGTTATGTTTATATCTTATTGGCTTTAATGGATCTTGGTAAGCAGGGTTTTCAGTATTTAGCAGAAGTATGGAATAATTGACTGTCAGTGTTGTCCCATACTGATCGAAACCCAAGACCATATGGTTACCTGTGGATTCATTTGCTTTTTAGCAGATTGTGATTGGAATATGTCAGATGTCTAATTGAACCTTCATTCCAGTTACTGAAAAGTGTTATCCTTGAGACATTTTTTCCTCTTCCTCTTTCTTTCCCTATACCCAACAGGATATCACTCTGTACCCCAGGTTGACCTAAAACTTGGAGCAATCTTCTTACCCCGAACTCAGTTGTTTCTTTTGAAAATAGTTCATTTAAGAGTTAGAGTCATATTGGATATACCAAATGAGAAACTGGGTGGAAGCTTCTGTCTTTAAAAAAAAAATCAATTAATTCTTATATATTACATTTCCACTGTAATTTCCCCTTTTTCCTCTCCTACCCAGCTTCCCCATCCACTCCTCTTCAATTTCTATTCAGAAAATGGCAGTCCTCCCAGGGATATCAACCAAATACAGCATATCAAGTTATAATATGATTAGGTACCTCCCCTCATATTAAGGCTGAGTTAGGCCACCCAGGGCCCCCAAAGCAGGCAAAAACAATAGAAACAGCTTCTGCTCCCTATATAAGGTGTCCCAGAAAAACACCAAGCTGTACAACTGTAACATATATGCAGAGAGCCTAGGTTATACCACATAGGCTCCCTTATTATCAGTTTAGTGTCAGCGAGTCCCTGTGAGTCCAGGTTTATTGACCCTGTGGGTTTTCTTGTGGTGTCTTTCACCTTTCTAGCTCCTATAATCCTCTGTGCCCCTGCCCCCTTTCTGAAGGATTTCCTGAATTCCATCTATTCTTTGGCTGTGGGTCTC